CATGATGATGGTGGTGATGGTGATGGTGATGATGAGGGAGATGATGGTGATGGTGATAGTGGTGACAGTGATGATGATGGTAGTGATGGTGGTGATGGAGACAGGGAAGAGTGAGGATAACTGCCCTCACCACACACATACCCGTACACACTCTCTCTCTCATCCTCTCTATCCTGGTCTTCTCCAGCCCACCTCCCAATTCCAACTCCAGTAGCTGGAGTCATGTACTCCACTGTCCCCAATTAGATGGGCTGCATGGGCCTAGAGATGACAAAGCTCCCAAGATGAGAATCCGTGAGCTGTGCTAAGTGACCCCAGGCAAGTGAATTCCCATTTTGGAGTCTCTTCTTCCCTATCTGTAAAATGAGGGGGAAAGGTGAGATTGGCCTGTCCTAAAAGCCCTTGTTGGATAATCTTCTACATCATGTCTGCAGCTGATGTTTGCAGAACCAGCGGGACTTGCTAAGGGGAAGGAGAATTCCAAATTCCATAATGTGTGTAGTTGGGCTCATGTATCTGCAGGTGGGGTGAGGTGGCCATTGTGACTTAGTGACTCAAGAACACTCAGTGGCTCCCTATTGCCCTCAGGTTCAGGTCAAACAAACCCTCTTAGTCCTGCTTTCAAGTCTTCCACCTCTGGCTTTATGTCCACCCTCCCCGATATAGATATTTGAAAGTGATGGGTTTCCAACTTGTGGGACTTCAACTACCCTGAGAAACACATTTTACAACAGGACCTGGTGCGCACACACATGTACACACAATACAAAGTGAAAAGTTTCATGAACAAAACTGACCTCCACTAAGCACAATTATCTCAGACCTCTTCTATGCTTATTCTATTTCAGAAATAAATATCTGGTCACAACCCACATTTTTCATGACTGGCTAATAGGTCTTGACCTGCAATCTGAGAAACACTAACCTTGAATTTTAGAGAACAATCTGGGTTGGTGTTAGATGAGGAGTAACTCTTACTAAGCAGAAGTAGCTTGTATTGGCTTCCTGGGGTGGGGATGGAGGCTCAGTGTTTGACTCCCACACCCCTCCTCACAGCATGTGTGCACGCATGAACAGACGGACAGACAGACCCAAACACACACAGGCACACACCACTCCCTTTCACTCCCCTTAAGGAAAAGATTTGTTGACTGAATCTCCCTTTCTCCCTCTGGCTCCTTCTCTTATATCTATCTCTGTCTCTCTCTCACACAGTCTGGGTCCAGAAAGTCTGTATTCTGTAGGGCATTGCTTCTGGCCTTTGCTGATTAAGCCCGAGGCATCCATCCCAGTCAATGGGAGAGCTGAGATGCTGTCTGATAGAAATTTGTTCTCTTTGACTTTCTCCTGCCCTTGCTCTGAGTCTGTTTCTCCTGGGAAAGATAAATGGTTTTCCCAGGGTGGGCCCTGAGCATTTCTAGGGTTTTTGGCTGAATACCACTACAACACCATCTCAAGTTCTGTAGCTGTTAATTCAGGGCTGGGGTGCCTGAGAACCCCCCAGTGAAGGAGGGCTCAGAGAATGGGGTGGTTCCTCTCTAGTTTCAGCCAATGATGGACATATGGGAAGAGGGACACAGCATTGCCAGGTGTTTCAAATTTCCAGGAGAAGACAGAAATCTGGATATTTTTAAAAGCAAAATCCCTCAGCTCTTAAATGTTAAAACTAATTCAAATACAAAAAAAAAAAATACTGTGTGGGCCAAATAAAACCTGTCTGTGGGTTGGAGCTGGCTGATTTATAAGCTCTGGTCTAGCCAGCTGCTCAGCAGCACCAGCAGGCAGAGGAAGGGGCCCACGAAGAGGCTGCAGAGGAGCAGCCCAGAGAGGCAGAAAGGAAGCCAGAGAGAGGCAGGAAGGCCACCTTCTCCAGGAAGGCCTCCTGACCTATCTCTCCTGGTGGAAGACCAGAGCAGGTCCTGGCTTAAGAGTTCAGCATATACTCCCCAGAGCTCAAACTCAGGGATACTCACCAGGTTAACCGGGTGTTTGGGTATATATTGCATGAGTCCATTAGGACGGTATTCTAGAACAGACAAAACAAACCTATGGTACCAACAGTAATCAGAGCAAGGGTTACCTCTGGGTAGGTAGGGACAGGACAGACTGGGAAGGGATGGACTGGGAGCATCGTTCTGTATTTTAATAAGGATTTGGGTTTCACGGAGATCTGCATTTGTACTGTACCTAAGATTTGTACATTTACTGCAAATTTTACCTCCAAAGAGAATAAGAACTCTAGCTAACCCTATGCATGCTTAAGTATTGTGGAAGGGGGGTGTGTGTACTGGGTCTTCAGTTTCCTTTGAAATGGATCAAAAAAGAAAATAAGATGGATTGAGGGAGGGACAGATATGTAGCAAAGCAAAATATTAAAGGTAGAGTCTAGGCAGCAGGTATCTGGATACTCACCGTGGCAGTCCTTGTTTTGTCCAGCTGTACCGAGATATGATTGATAGAGAACACTGTATTCATTTAAAGTATACAATGTAATGATTCAGTATACGTGTATATTACAAAATGATGATTACAGTAGCATTAGTTAACATATCCATGGCCTCACACAGTCACATTTTGTATGTGTGTGTTTGGTGAGAACTTCCAAAGTCTCTCTTAACAACTCTCAACTCTACATCATGGTAGTTCATTATAGTCACACGCAGTCCATTAGATTCCCAGCACTTATACATCTCATAAGAGCAAATTTCACCCCTTCCCTCCCATCCTCCTGCTGGGCAACCACCAGTCTGTTCTCTGTGTCTATGTGTTTGTTTGTTTCTATTCTACGTATGAGTAAGAACATACAATATTTATCTTTATCTGACTTATCATGCCCTCAACGTCCACCCATGTTGTCACAAATGGCAGGAGTTCTCTGAGTTGGTGGGTTTGTTTTCCTCTGATAAATACCCAAGGTGGGTTTGCTGGATTAGGGGCACTTCTGTTTAATGTTTTGAGGAGTCTCCGTACTGTTCTCCACAGCGACTACACCAGTTAGCATTCCCATGAACAGCGCAGGAGGGTTCCCTGTTCTCCTCAACGCCACCAACAACACTTGTTGTCTCCTGGGGATTTTTGATACTAGCCTTCTGACGGGTGTGCGGTGATATCTCACGGCGGTTTTGATTTGCATTTCCCTCGTGAGGAGTGAGGTCGTGCGCCTTTTCACGAACCCATTGGCCGTCTGTATGTCTTCTCTAGAAAAATGTCTACTCAGTCTTTGCCCACCTTATAATTGGGTTCTTTGGGGTTTTCCCCACTGGAATGTTTCTTCAAATTCTTTATGTTTGAAATTTTTCATAACAAAATATTGAGAAGAAAAGAGCAGGACTATAAGTAGAGCACCAGAGTAGATAAACTAGCATCGGATTATAACCCAAACGTGAAATAAATATCTATAAACCCCAAATGACATAAATAAATGATTGGAGAAAGCAAACAATGTGACAAATGAGAGAGAATAGACAAATCCGCCACAGAGAAGAATTCCGAATGATTTGTGTTGCTATTCTACCCTCAAGGCGATGGAGCACACAACTCCCTATTCATTGAGGTTGGGCTGAGCGTGGTGGCTTCCTTCTAAAGGGAACAGCAGTGGAGAAGCCTCACTGACACTC